TAGAAGCTGAAAATCTCAAGACCAGAAATGCTCAAACGTGGATTCTTTTGAATGCTGAACAATTACATGACGTTCCAACCTTAACGCTAGAATTTCTAAAAAACATTACAGTTGGTGTATATCAAATTTAGTTAGCATCATCTTATGTGCAACACAATTTATAAAGGGATGAGAAAGAAGAGTACCAACTTGAAATGTTAAGAGATATAGATTATCACGACCAGGGCTGATGAAAGTTAGATTTTTTTCACGATTTCGCAACGCAATCAGTTATGGATTTCATATAGACTGATAATGAGATGGGCCATGGGATGGATAATGACGAACGTATACCTATATAAGATTATTATTGTACATGCAAGTCTAGTGCTCATACTCTCGATACGTGTGCATACATTACCAATGTTTTATGGGGTATGCACGGCATGAATCGAACGTGTGATATCCTTCGACTAGACTAATTAAATTTATAAATGACGCTGTAAATAGACTACGACAAATGATTAATATTTTACCAGAAGTAATTGATGTTTAGATCTATAGTTACTTATATCTATAATTTTTTAAATTTTTATTTTGACTACGAAGGTTTCTTGTGACTGAATTAATTACTTGGCTTGCCTGACTGAATTGTATCAAAATCTTGCCTTGGTTGGCTGGATTTTATTCAATCTTGCCTTCATTGACTGGATTCTATTCAATCTTGCTTTTATTGGCTGGATTCTGCTCAATCTTGTTTTAGTTGACTGAATTTTTCTCATGAACTTCTTCACCTTGTTTTGTCTTGAGAAATATAGCGACAGAACTTCTTCTCAATCCATGAATTTTGTTCTCAATGATTGCGTCTACTCGATAAGTAAATAGTCATATTTCCAAGATTTGACCCCCAATATCTCGAAAACTATTTATTTTTGGACTTTGTGCCTATGAGGTCTTTTGATCAGGACATTATGATCTACATTATAATTTCAGTCAATTTGACTGGGATCCATTTTACATAAGATGTAGCAGGGTCCTTTGCCATGCTTGCTCCTGATATGGCAGCATGGTATCCATACAAAAGCATCCATACTAGCTCCTTATCTAAATTTCTATCAGGGTTAATAATGAATTTAATTTGAATGCTACATTTATTAAAAAGAAAGTTGAATAGTGAATATTTAAAAAAATTACAATGGTTTGCAGTACTACATTTAAATTTAATAATTTTTACAACAACACACACAAAAGAATTCAAAACTTAAATACTTATGTCCTATATTTAATTTTAATCTGCACACCGTATTACTCGCTTGCACGTATTTACATTGATTATACTTACTTCCATCGTATTTTATTTCTTTTAATTGTTTTAATCCTAAAAATTCTTTTAATCCTATATATTATATACGTTATTTATGTCTTAATACTTACGTTATTATTGTCTTTGTGTTTTAGTATTTGATCATTACAGTTTTCTATAGTCACTGTAATCAGAGTCGAAACATGAGCGATTTATTTTCGGGATTGGTCAGCGTCATGTTTGGGATCGTACGATATGTTAGTGAAAATGTGAGTTTGTGTAACGTATGTGTGAGTTGTGTAAATGACGTCCCAGCAATGGCGTTCTTCCGATCTTATGTCTCGATTCTTATTGTAGTGACTCTACATTTTTTGATCCAACAGCGCAAGTGTTTTTATATGAAAATTGTTTTATTTATATTTTTTAATTTCGTATAACAGAGTTTTGTTTAAAGTTATAATATATGATTTGGATTGAGTGAGGTAACAATTTTTAAAGATTATAATTTAGCGCCCATCATTGGTATTAAATCTTTTATATACTTGATACATCAAATTAAGCCTGATCGTTCAAATTAAATAGAATTTTTAAATAACAAAAATACAAGAATTCTTCGTATATAAAATAAATAACAACAAATGAAGGGTGAAGTAAGAATCAACGCATTCAGTCTCAAAAGACATGTAATTAAAGACATAAATTGAAAGTACAGAAAAGATAAAAAAAAAGAAAAGATGTATACTAAGAAATAACAGTGAAAGGTAAACATATAACATTACAAGTTTCGGCTACCGGATTGAGCCTTCTTCAGATGTTAATATAATGGAAACAGAATTAAAAAATAATTGTCGCAAAAGTTCACAGATTAAGAATACACGCAGTTCGGTTGAGTCTCGATGTAGAACTCGATATTATTCGTACGATTGAACAGTCAAAAAAGTGTCATGTCTCATAGCAAAGTTTTAGTTTAGTTGATAAAAAAGAAAAAGATCTCTTATGAAAAAAGTAAACTTAAATAAATTGACAACCGTAATTATGATAAAAAGTAAAAACTCACCAGCAAACATATGTAAAAGATCAAAACTAATATGTATATCCATATAAGTATAACAAATAGTATAAAAGCATAAAGAAGGATGGAATGCAGATGTAACAAAATGGACATTGTGTATCGACTAATGTGACCGCTCGCTGAAATGAATCGCCACGCACTGAAAGAGGAGACGGGCTGTCAGTATAAAAAAAGTCAAACTTTATTTACAATGGGTAAATATGCCTTGTGAAGACCTTCAGTGTCCGTTATTAAGTATCTGTAAATTAAGACTGTTTTTCTGCTTCTTTATGTAAAGCATTTCGGAAATTAAACACTTCCTATAACAAGGCTCTTCATCTAAGATTATGATGTCCCATTGGAAATCGTGATTACACTGTAGCCTATGTTCGGTGATGACAGAATGGACAGAAGTTTTATGTCTGATTACGATGTTCAGTAATTCTGGTTTTCAATTGTCTGCCCATCTGTCCGACATAAGACGCTGGATCAAATATCGCCGTTTGATTACAAAGACTTATGTACATACTCTATTTATTAAACAGTGCATTAATAGCAATATTACTCCGAGACATTTGAATAGCATTGACAACTGCAATATTAAGTTTCGTAACTTCAGATCAAACAAAAAATTCTCATGTTTTAAATTATCTATATTGAGGAGGATTTTGCGAAACAAAAGGACCATTTTTGCTTCAACATTGAATAACTCGATGAAAAAAAATCGGAGCTTCGTAAAAAAGTAAATTAAAGGTAAAGATTCGCTCTTTCGAATTATGTAAATCGCATTTGTATACAATTTTTATTCCACTCTGTGGAGCTTCGCAAACTTTATAAAAAATTTTGAGGGTATATCTTTATTTATATTTGTATAACTTCATGAAATCTCTATGAGACCGTTTTCTTAAGTAGCGATCTGAAAAGTAGAGGTTTCTACCTGTGAAATGCTTTTTTAAACATCCCGATACGACAATTTTTGACGAAGTTATTGTATTTTTTTTTTGCCTATTTTTGCAGAATGAACAGGTGTTGCGTTAATTTTGTTGCCTATTGTGTGCGTGCGTGCGTGTGTGCGTGTGTGTATATACATACCGGGTGTCCTGTATCTTTTTATTAATGTTTCAGAGAGTGAAAGAGAATGAAATTTTGAATTGAAAGTTCTTTTACAAGTTTTGGCTCACATCATTATTGACCGAGTTATTGACGACTAAAGTTGACCAATCATAGAGCATGCAGCCGGAGCATAGCATGCCATGGGACTTCTCGCGCTTGCTATACATTCTCCTGATTGAAAATTTGTTCTAACTTTCATATTAATTAATAAGTAAATCAATAAAAAGGTAGATAAATAAATAAATAAATAAATAAGATATAAAATAAAATAAATAAGTAAATAAAATAAAGTAAAATAAAATAAAGTAAAATCCAATTGAAAATAAAATATCTAACACAAAATAAATATTTATCTAAAATAATGAATAAAAAAATAGGAGGTAGAAACAAAATAAAGTAAAATAAATAAAATAACATAAATAAAAATACATAAATAAATAAATAAATTACAAATAAAATCTAATATAAACTAAAATACCTCTCTAAAATAAAATAAGATAAATAAATTCTATCTAAAATGAAATATCTATCCGTATAACCTTACTGCCCGTATTCTTTCCAGTTCTTCGAAATATCTATCATAAATGATTTATTTATTTAATTTTGTTTTATTTAAAAGTAAATCATTTGTTATTTACAAAATTTTTTTATTTTTTAGGCATTTTTTAGATCTAAAAGAAACTGATATTGTTCAATAGTCTTGAAAAAAGCCGATTTGTTCAAATAGATCCCTGTCGACCGCTAAGCAAGTATGAGCTCTCCGGACAGTTTCATTTCTTACATGGCGAAGCATTTCGGCATTCACCATTGCTACGGCAGCGTGTAATCGATCAAACAGTTCCTCCACGTTCTCTGGTTCTTTCGCGTAAACTGTTTCCTTTAAATGGCCCCAAAGGAAGAAATCCAAAGGCGAAAGATCAGGAAACCTGACAAAAACAATAAATATTAAATTGAAAATATTATCTGTTCAGTGATTTCTACTACATAAGTTTAAATTAATCTTACCGTGGAGGCCAGCAGAACGGAGCGCTAACATCGAACCAACATTTAAGAAACTGGACGTTGAGATATTCCCTCACACGCCGAGTGTTATGTGGTGGTGCCCTATCTTGCTGGAACCAACGAGGTTAATTTGCAAATGGAAGCAAATCGTCCAGCAAATCGTCCAGCAAATTCGAAAGGACCTCTTCGAGAAAAATAGGGTACTGTTTCATCCTGAAACAAAGAAACGTGCGTAATTTTTAATTTTTATATATGTTATTTTTGTCTACATACATATATACGTATGTTACAGGTGTAGTGATACTCTAAAAACGTTCGGGAACTGATAAATGAAGACCTGATGCCCAACAATTCCCCATACGGTCATTTTCCAGCGATGCTGAAAATTTCTTATTCTCATATACATCAACACTCGCCATAAATAAGATGCATGTCGGCATATTCGGCTAAGGTGTATTTCATTACGTTTTTCTTTTTGACACAAACGTGAAAACACGTAAATAACGCTTAAGAATAATTTCGCTGGTACGGATGCGTATACGTGAAGTTAATCAACGGCAACTTCACGTATGCACATCCGTACAATGCATTAAAGGCTTCGAGAGTGTATGCGGAAAGTTTTCCGAATCGGGCTCACCCGTATCCACAATTATTCACGCATTTACATCTGTACCTCAGAACAAAAAATCGACTGACGCCAGGAGGCTATGAGGAATGACAGCATGAGGTGGCAGATCTTGCCGAAGAAGGTATTTTAGAACGAGTGGAGAATGATCCAATGATGAGCTGTCGATTACTGGAGAAAGCAACCGGTGTCTTGAAATCGGCGGTGAATCGAATACTCCGTTTCAATTTTTTGCATCCATATCATTATACGTCTGTCCAGAATCTTCATCCAGGGGATGCAGAATTGTATAGACAATTTTGTCGACATTTGCTGGCCTTGACGAACCATCATAAAAATTTCCTATTCAATATCTTACGGACAGACGAAAATCTGTTTACAAGAACAAAATCTTCAACCAGCATAATTTACATTATTATGCTGACGAAAATCCCTACGTAATGAGGATAAGGAATTTTCAGCATCGCTAGAAAGTGAACGTATGGGGCGGAATTGTCGGACATCAGGTCTTCATTTATTAGTTTCCGAACGTTTTTAGAGTAAGTATCACTACACCTATAACATACGTATATATGTATGTAGACATACGTATATAAAAATTAAAAATTACGCACGTTTCTTTGTTTCAGGGTGGAATAGTATGCTATTTTTCTCGAGGAGATCCCTTCCGGATTTGCTGGACGATGTCCCGTTTGCAAATTGACCTCGTCGATTGCAGCAAGATGGCGCACCACTACATAATACTCGGCATATGAGGGAATATCTCAACATCCAGTTTCCTGAACGTTGGTTTGGTGTTGGCGCTCCGTTCCGCTGGTCTCCACGGTAAGATTAATTTGAACTTATATAGTTAGAAATCACTAAACAAATAATATCTTTAATTTAATATTTATTGTTATTGTCAGTTCTCCTAATCTTTCGCTTTTAAATTTCTTCTTTTGGGATTATTTAAAGGAAACTATTTATGCAAAAGAACCAGAGAACGTGGAGGAACTGATTGCTCGACTACACGCTGCCGTAACAATGATGGATGCCGAAATGATTTGCCATGTAAGAAATGAAACTGTCCGGAGAGCCCACGCTTGCTTAGCGGTCGACGGAGATCTATTTGAACAAACCGGCTTTTTTCAAGGCTGTTGAACAATATTAGTCTCTTTTAGGTCTAAAAACGCCTAAAAGATAAAAAAGTTTTTATAAATAACAAATGATTTACTTTTAAATAAAACAAAATTAAATAAATAAATTGTTTATGATAGATATTTTATTTTAGATAGAATTTATTTACCTTATTTTATTTTAGAGAGGTATTTTAGTTTATATTAGATTTTATTTGTGATTTATTTATTTTTATTTATTTTATTTTATTTATTTACTTTACTTATTTATTTTGCTTTACTTATTTATTTACTTTACTAATTTATTTTATTTCTTTTTAGATAGATATTTATTTTGTGTTAGAAAAATATTTTATTTATTTTTTATTAGATTTTACTTTATTTTATTTATTTATGTCACTTATTTATTTTATTTTATCTTATTTATTAATTTATTTAATTTTACTTTAGATAGATATTTATTTTATGTTGGATAGATATTTTATTTTATATTAGATTTTATTTTATTTTATGTACTTATTATTTATTTATTTACCAGGATGTCGCCTACCGGGAAAAACCTGGAAAATCTGAAATTCTCAAGGAATTGTTTTTTACCCTTAAAAATCCTGGAATTTTGTTGAAATTGTCAGGGAAATTTTTAAATTCTATTTTTAAATTTAAATTCTATTTTGTTTAATAAAATCATTTCTTTCTTATAAACGCTTCGAACCATTTATGGTGAAACTTTTGACCGCAGCCTAAAGGCTATAGCAGAGAATGAGACATAACAAGACATAGTCGTGACATGGTAAAACATAGGAAAATATAGGTGTTATAGTCCGACTGCGACATCTATGTTTTTCTCTGTCATATTCTACATCCATAACTACGTTTCGTTACGTCTCATCCTCTGCTATAGCCCTAATTCTACCGTAGTGTAAAAATATGGCTGAATCCTATGATTTAACCAGCCAATCAGACGATTTCCTTACTTGTCGCTTCTTTGATATCTAAGCCCCTATTTTGTGACTGTGACGTATTTCCTAATCTGAATAGTTGTCAACTTTAACGATTAATATCTCAGTGCAGAGCGACGCTTTTTTCAGATTCATTCGTTTTGAGGTGACGTAGCTAAACTGAACAATTACCAAAACTTTTACCGACAGTAGAGAAGAAGAGAATGTAATAATGCCTCTAAATTCAGAGGTGCTAGTGTCTAAATTCTCAATGTCACAAATCATACGATAACTACCTTGACTATATAAGTCAAAGATAGTCACAAGAGGGAATGTATTTAGTCATGTATATTTATGGTGTGCTAACCTCTCCAAAGTTATTAGATCTAGTAACTTTAACATCTCCACATGCTATCTGATGCAAATGACTGTCATCTAGCATCACTGTAGCTGGTTGAAACCGCTCGACATGTTATAACGTATTTGTATGCGTATATACAAATTAACAATTATCTATAATTTGAGTAAGTTTATTAATACTATTGAGAGAATAAGCACAATGTATTTTTTGATATTGTTTAGAAGATTAATAATATAACAAATACTATAATCTAAATACTATATAATACTATTCATTAATAATAGTTTTATTAATACATAAACAACTTTTGCATATATATATATATACACATATATGTTAGTAAAAGAGAATAGTTAATGATAATAGCTAAGTTAAATGATACTAATAGATAATATAAATGAACTTAATAAATATGAAACGGAATGTTTGGACAAAAAATTACTTTTTACAGATATTATTTTTCTCTCTTAGAAATTGTATTTTGCTATAGTAAATGTTAAAGTTTTATATGTCTGGCGACATATCATTGCTGTCTTGCATTGAATCAAAGAATTCATATAAGCATGATATATTTAATTTTTTTGTGCAGTCTTATACGATGCCGAAGTATTCGTGAGAAAAATTACAAGAAAATTGGCTTAAAAGTTCTGAGTTTCAGAACTGGATACGGCCTATAAAAGAGAAACCCCATTATGTTCGCTGTATTTTATGCATCCTTGCGATATTTTTTTGAGTAATATGGGGAGACAAGCTCTCCTAAGTCATATAAAAAGTAAAAAACACGTTTAACGTTGAAGTTCTGTGCCATTAAAAGATTTTGTAGTATCCACAACCGACAGTTCAGTTGCAGTTACTTCTTCTAATTTGGTCACTTCTGAATTAACTCAAGTAAAACCCTTCATTTATTGTTAGATCTTCTACGAATTCCAATACAATTCAAACTTTATCTAATCTATCAGTACAGAAAAAAATTGATACAATTTTGATCAAAAATAACATTACTACAGCTGAAGTGCTATGCATAGAAACTGTCATGAGTCACAAGTTTGTTTGTTGTTCATTGCGTAGTTCAGAGAAAGATGTTTTTCGAAGGGTGTTTTTCGAAGAATGTTTCCGGATAGTGACATTGCTAAAAAATACAATATAAAAGGAACAAAATTGGTTATGTTATTATGTTTAGTATCGCTCCTTTCTTCAATAAGAAATTAGTAGAAAATATTAACTGCGCATGTTTTATTGTTGCTTTGACGAATCTCTTCTCAATAAGATTTTAAAACGTCAACAAATAGATATAAATGTGAGATTTGGGGATATATTATAAAACGAAGAAATAATAACGTGATATCTAACTTCATGGTTTCTTGGACGTACAAGGGCGCACGGATCTTCTTGAAATATTCAAAGATGGAAATCTGACAGAAAAGTTACTGCAAATATCTATAGACTAAATGTGAATTGGGCTTTTATAAAAGAATATAAATCAGAATTTTCGAACAACAAACTATTTGATATTAGAAGTTGCGGTCTACATCGTTTGCATTGTGCGTTCAAATCTGGTATATATAGTATATGCTGCTAATTGGAACATTATCTCATATCTACATGAGGGCCTTATACAATCTATTCAAGGATATACCAGCTCATAGAGCTTTATATGTACAATATTCTGGATCTAATATTTTTCCACTAAAATTTTGTTCTATAAGATGGCTGGAAAATTGTACAGTAGCTCAAAGAGCGATTGATGTCATATCACATATTAAAAAATTGAAGGTGTGTAGCAAGATAAGATTGAACCAATGTGTGAAAAACAAAATAATTGTAAAATATATTAAAGATCCTTTATTGTGTGCTAAGCTTGCTTTCTTTAAATTTCTTGCTTCTGATGTAGAACCTTTTTTACGAGAATTTCAGTTAGATACTCCTTTGGTTCCATTTTTACATAGTGCTCTTTCTTTAATGCTGGAAAACGTTTTATTAGAACGTTTTATGGAACCCGAAGTAATAAAGAGTATTTCATCAGTCTCACTGAAAGATGTCCGAACAGAGGCTAATCTACTTTCTGTAAAAAATATTATATTAGATTTTGATACTATAAACGCAATAAGAAAAGTTGATATTAAGACAGATATGCTTTCAACAGGATTGCAAGAAGTGTCTCCTAAAGTTTGTTTTCGTATTAATAACACGATCACCGTTAACGTATTCTCTGACAAAAGCTGTTACTTGTTTAGCCTCATGTCCAAGCCTCATAGCTTCAAAATTAGACTTAGCCAAGAAATGTTTACATAGTTTATATATCATTCTTAACGAAAAGGATCAAATAACTGGATCAACAGCTGATGATAATTCAGCAATTTTTAGATCTTACGTCGCGACTATAGATCATGGATATCATGAAATTTTATAATCGTTCTAAAAAACGTTTAGATCACTTTTGAAGAGATGTTGTGTTCCAAGATTTTAAGGATTTAATGCTTGTAGTAAGAATGATTTGTTACCTCTTTCATGGCAATGCAAATGTAGAACGAGGTTTTTCTGTAAATGCTGAATGTCTTTTCAAAAATATGAAAGAGGAATCTATAAATGCCCATCGTCAAATATAAGATGCTGTATTACACGAAGGTGGCGTTGATACTTTAGAAATATCCAAAGCTTTTTTGCATTGTGCTCGAAACGCTTATTCCCGTTACACAGAAGATTTTGAGCAGCGTCGCCAGCAAGCATCTGTTGCAGAACAAGAAGCGTCTATGAAAAGAAAAAAGATTTTAGAAGTAAAAGAGTTAGAGGTCAAACGTTTAAGAATTTTAGAAAATGCTCAGGAGGAAGAATTTTAGAAAATGCTCAGGTAGACTTAACGAACAAATTAATGCTTTAAAGAAGTAGATTTTAGTATTTTATATTGTCTAGAGATCTGTTTTTTTTCCTACACTACCTGAGTGCACAGTGCAAAGTTGAAGTGAAACAAATATGTTTTGTTTCGTTTCAACTTATTGCACGAAGCAATGCACTGTGTGCATCAGTTTAGACAGTGCAGGAATAAAGAACAAACCTAATATGTTATTTACTTATAGATATATCTTTTGTTTTTTTTAAATATAAGAATTATATTTTTTATGATATAATAAACAAATTATGTTTATATATATAATTTTTGAACTAAATGTTTTGAAATGTCTAATCATATCTGGAATTTTTAATAAAATTCATGGAAAAATCTGGAATTCTCAGGAAATTTTTTTATAAGATTTGAGTACTCACCTTGTTTACTTATTTATTTATTTATTTATTCACCTTTTCATTGATTTATTGATTTACTTATAAATTAATATAAAAGTTACACTAAATTTTCAATCGGGAGAATGCAAAGCAAGCACGAGAAGTAAATGTATTGGGTGGATCCATATATTCGTTCGCTTTTTA